GGATTAACAACACTAACCACTGGCGATGGAATTATCAAGATAGCCATAGAGGACGCCCCCCATGATCTAGGAGCGGGCTTGAGCGAGGCAGAGTATGAAATTGGTTCGGTTTAGAAATAATGAATTAGTGGCATTGCTATTGCCCATTAAGAAAATAAATAAGATCTAAAACAAACAGTAAAATAAGTTGCGCACAATATACACAAATATTGCGCTTTTTCAAAATGTTTAAGAATAAACCTATGATCACTACCGGAATATGCCCAAATCGCGACGGCCTAAACTATGCCGACGGCACCCGGCATAGGTCAAGCCGTCGGCGTAGAAAAGTTGTCGGCATACGTCAACATGTGCTGACGGGTGCCGTCGGCATAGCTCGGCCATCGGCAATACTAGCTCTATGCCTACGGTCACCTTCGGCATATACGTGGACCCGGCTACCCAGTGGGCGACGGGCGTTTGACAATGTCATATCTACGCCGATGGCTCTAACGGGGCCGTCGGCATAGGAAGTGACCCACGTCATTGATCCAGGGGACGGGACACGTCATCTATCTGAGCCCCTCATCAGTCTTTAGGGTGGCATAGATATGCCGACGGCCTTGCCGTCGGCATAGGCCTGGCCCACGGCCTCTACCACGTCATCGATCTGAGGCCCTCATTAAGCCGGGGGCGTAGCTATGCCGACGGCATTGCCGTCGTCATCAATTTGTGTTATTTTTTTATATTTTATTTATTTTTCTCCTTTTTCTAAACAAATTTGATTAACTTAAATGTGCCTTATCTAAACAAAAAACATACCTAAATTATATATTGGTTGACCCCCCTCACAGACGTCACCGCCGACATCTCACGTTGGGGGGAAACGGCCACGTCGGGCCTACATGGAGGAAATCTTGCAGTGGGTTGGGCCCGGACCGTGTTCGTGGGTGTAGCTACGGGCTGGACTATGACAACCCGGTGAAAAGGTCCATTGGTCAAACACCGTCCGGTGAAAGTCAAAGGCCTAGATCCGCTGGTCGACTGTGTCGGGGTTAGACGGGACGGGGTACTTGGGGGTAGTTATGTTGCCAAGTCTTGTTGTGGGCCCTCTTATGCGTGTGAAAGCGTGGTGGCAGGTGCAAGTACCCGAAACGCGGCTCCGGCGTGTGACCCCCCTCACAAATTAAACGTCGCTGCCG